ATTGTTTTAGTCACATGTTTCTGTTTCCCTAAACCATATATTGATGAGTTTTGTTCTTGAAATTTACATCAATGGTGTCATACTGTATGTCACACTTACGATGACTAAATGTCATCAACATACTGCATGTTTATGACTGCTGCTTTTGCTCAACGTTACATTTCTAAGATTCACCTATTTGTAGCTGGCAGTTGTTCATCCATTTCTTTTACTGCTTATAATATTCCATTGTATGAGTATGCCATAACTTATTTTTTATTCTTCTGTTGATGGACTGTGACTTCTTTTTAGTCTGTTTTATTTTGTTTGTTTTTTCTATAATGGAAAATGCACCAATGAACAGTCTTTAAAACATATCTTGGTATACATGTGCCAGAATTTCTCAGACAGTATCAATTTAGGAGTGGAATGACTGGAATTTTGAGTATGCTTAGATCCAGTTTTCTAAGATAAGCCAAACTATTTTCCAAAATGATTATTTCACTGACTAGTTGCCCCAAGGAACTCAAGTTGGGTTTGGAAGCACTTAAACTGTTTTTCCAAATTGTTTTTTTTCTCCTTTTTGTTACGTTAAGGAGATGCAATCACCAACCACCCTGAACTAGAGGAAGCCTCAGCACAAGAGCTACGCCTATCTATGGCCTTTGCCTTATTATTATTATTTTTTTTCTTAAAGGTTGGCACCCGAGCTAACATCTGTTGCCAATCTTCTCTTTTCTTCTTCTTCTTCTCCCCAAAGCCCCCCAGTACATAGCTGTATACTCTAGTTGTGAGTGCCTCTGGTTCTGCTATGTGGGACACCGCCTCAGCACAGCTTGATGAGCACTGTCATGACCGTGCCTAGGATCCGGACCTGTGAAACTCTGGGCCACCAAAGTGTAGCCCACGAACTTAACCACTTAGCCACCAGGCTGGCCCCACCTCTGCCTTATTTTTAATGGTAGGATCTCTCCAGGAGGAGCTTAGCCCTTATTACCATAACCTGTAGTGTACGTGGAAGCATGTTTTCCAACTGGGCCTGCACAAGCGAATACCCACCTCTCCCTTTTGAATATTCATTCCTCATCTAAAATAAAAGGTCACTGCTTCCCTTTGTTCGGGGATGCTAGGACTCTGGAAATGATTCTTCATGGTCTCCTATTTGCTGCAAATATACTTTATGAGACAACTTACTTCTCGTGGAGAGCCTGATTTAACTCACCAGGAGGAGAATCCACTTTGGTTTTGCTAACAATTATACCAAGTATTATCTGACCAAGCAGTGTGTGAGCCTTTCCATTGGTTCAATTCTTGCCAACAAGTGCAGCTTACATTGTCACACTTCTTAATTTTTACCAATCTAGTGGGTGTAGAATGGTATCACATTGTACTTTTAATTTGTACTTCTCTGATTACTCATGAGGTTGAGCATCTTTTTCTTTATTATCAATTTTTGTTTCCTCTTCCTGTTTTGTCCCTCCCCTCCTTTTTTCTATTGGGCTATATAAGTGAGCCGAGTTGTGTCCCTCCAAAGGATATGTTCAAGTTGTAACCCCCAGTCCCTGTGAATGTGACCTACTTTGGAAATAGGGTCTTCACAGATGTAATCAAGACGAGGTTATATAGGGTGGGCCCTGAATCCAACAATTGGTGTCTTTATAAGAAAAAGGAGAGGGAGATTTGGATACAGAGACACAGAAGATACACACAAGGAAGAAGGCCATGTAATGATGGAGGCAGAGATTGGAGTGACACAGCTGCAATCCAAAGAATACTGTAGGGGAGGAAGACATTTCCTCTACCCTCTCTGGGTTCGTCTGGCCAGAGAACAAATTAAATTCACACAAGACAGAATAGCAGGAGAAAATTAAACAAAGCTTTATAACATGTGTACATGGGAGGCTCAGGCAAGCTGAGCAACTCGCCAAAATGGCTAAAGCCCCCACCTTAAATATCATCTTCAGCTAAAGACAAAGGAGGATGTTGGGGGTGGGGGAGTCAGTTACAGGAGGTTACCAGACAAACACAATAAACAAATGCAGATTTAAGTCCTTGCACTCTGTATTGATAGGAGTCTCTAGAGCTAAGGTCATCCCTCCTTCTTCCTGGTACAGAGAGGGAGACACCTTTACAGATGGAGATTTCCTTTACAATGTAAATGTCTCTTACAAAGAGTAAGTAAATTCTACTTTTCAGTTGCTTTCCTGTCTGCAAAGCAACCAGCCCCAAATAATCATCATGCCAAAGAGACATATCTTGGGGTGGCCAATTCCAGGCCCCCACAATACCAAGGATTTCTGGAAGCACCAGGAGCTAGGAGAGAGGCATGGAACAGATTCTTCTTCAGAGCCCCTAGAAGGAACCAACACTGCTGACACTTGGTTTCAGACATTTGGCCTCCTGAACTGTGAGAGAATAAAACTCTGTTGTTTTAAGCCACCCAGTTTGTGGCAATATGTTACAGCAGCCCTAGGAAACTAAAACAGGGAGTTTTTCTTTTTCTTATAAATTTGTAGGAATTCATTACATATTCTGTGTTACAATTTTGTGTTGATTATGATGTTGTAAATATCTTCTCCCGGTTTGTGGATTTTTACTTTCTTTATGGTATCTTTTGATGGACAGAACTTCTTATTTTTAATGTAGTTGTAGGGGAGGAGAAAACCTTTTTGCTCTACCCTCTTAGGTTCAGTCCTTGGGACCCTGCAAATTAAACTGACAAAAGACAGATTAACAGGAGGAAAAACCTCAGTTTATTTACACATGCAACATACGTACATGTGGGAGAACTCAATGATGAGCAACTCAAAGGGGTGGTAGAATTTAGGGCTTATACACCATTTTAACAGAGGACTGGAGAAGTGACGAGACAAAGGAAACAGAGTTTAGCCTTCTGGGGGTGGTAAAAATAGTGGGAATGTAACTATATGGGGGAAACTAATGGCAGATGAGGGTTATTTTAGTAAGGTTTGTTATGCAGACTCAATCTTGTGCAGTCTCTGGGGTGATGAGTGTCTCTGATGGTTCTCCTTTTCCAGGTATGAGAGAGAGGAGGGGAACACCTTCACAAGGGGAAATTTATGCCCTGCCTGGGGTATACAAGGGGGAGAGAAGAGAGCTTTTCCTGCATCTGCTGTTTTTCAATTGCCTTCAGCTCAAAATAATCCTAATACCAAAGTGGCAAACTCTGATCCCCTTCATAGTCAAATCTATCAATTTTATCATTAATAGTTAACACATTTTGGTTTTTCTTCAAGAAATCCTTCCCAACCTTGAAGTCATGAAGGTGTCCTCTTATAATTTCTTCCAACAGTTCTTCAGTCTAATCTTTCATATTTAAGTCTTTATTCCACTTGGAACTGATTTTTTTTGTTTGTTTTTTTAGGTTTTTTGGGTTTTTCTCTGAGGGAGATTCACCTTGAGCTAACATCCATGCCAATCTTCCTCTATTTTTCAGTACGTGGGCCATCAGCACAGCATGGCTGCTAACAGAGCGGTGTAGGTCCATGCCAGGAACTGAACCCAAGCCACTGAAGCGGAGTGTGCTGAACTTAGCCACTAGGCCACCGGAGCTAGCCCCAGAACTGTGTTTTATGTATGGTGTGAGGCAAAGATTCAATTTCATCTTTTTTTCATGACGATCACTAGCTATCTCAGCTTATTTTGTTGAATAGGTATTTTTCACCAGTGATCAGAATGACACCTCAGTCATGTGTCAAGTATTCATATATGTCTGTATGTGTGGCTGAGTTCTCTGTTATATTCCATTGGTCCCTATCCCAATACTACATGATTTTAATATAACAGCTTTGTGATAAGTTTTGGTATTTGCTAGGACAATTCCTCTCTCTCCCATATCACTTCTTTATTTGATTTCTTCAGTTTGAGTTAGTTTAGGAAGAATCAATATCTTTAAAATATTGAGTTTTCCAATAAAATGAACATGGGGGACTGGCCTGGTGGTGTAGTAGCTAAGTTCGTGCACTCTGCTTCAGCAACCCAGGGTTTGTGGGTTCTGATCCTGGTCGTGGACCTGGCACCACTCATCAAGCCACACTGTGGCAGCATCCCACATAAAATAGAGGAAGATGGGCACAGATGTTGGCTCAGCAACAATCTCCCTCAAGCAAAAAGAGCAAGACTGGCAACGGATGTTAGCTCAGGGCCAATCTTCCTCTCACACACACACAAAAACTCTGCTGGGGCTGGCCCCATGGCTCAGTGGTTAAATTTCCACACGCTCTGCTGGGGCAGCCCATGGTTTGTGGGTTTGGATCCTGGGTGTGGACCTATTCCACTCATCAGCCATGCTGTGGCGGTGAGCCACATCCAAAACAGAGGAAGACGGGCACAGACGTTAGTCCAGCAACAATCTTCCTCAAGCAAAAAGAGGAAGATTGGCAATAGATGTTAGCTTGGGGCCCATCTTCCTCACCAAAATAAATAAATAAATAAATAAATAAATAAATAAATAAAACATGGTGTATCTCTCCTTTTCTTTAGAGCTTCTTTAATGTTTTCCAATAATTTGAAATTTAAAATATAAAGGTCCTGTACAAATTTTATTAGATTTATTCCCAGGTGCTATGTATTTTTGTTGCTGTTCAAATTGTATAATTTAGTTACATTTCGAAAACTTTTTAATTGATGTATAACATATAGTAAAGTGCACACATCTTAAGTACAAGCTCAGTGACTTCGTACGTATGTATTATCCCTGTAATCACCATACAGAGCAAGATAGAGAGCTTTTCCAACACATCAGAAGGCTCTGTCCTGCTCCCTCCCAGTGAAGAACTCCCAAAGATAACCACTGCTCTGACCTCTATTACTGTACATCAGCTTTGTCTGTCTGTTTTAAGCCGCTTCTTGCTAGTATACAGCAATGCGATTGAGTTTGGTATATCGAACTCTCATTCAGCTACCTTACTATACTCTCATTTATTATATGCCGGTGGTTTTCATTTTTTCCATATAGTGTTTGGGACTTTCTATGTGGACAATCATAGTATCTGTGTATACCAGCTGATGAGTCTAAGGCAAATGAGACCTCGTGCTCTCTGATCCTTGGCTCCTCGCAGGGTGGCGGATTTGAACGGGATCTGAAATCTTAGCAGGGGTACCTGAGGCCTGGCTCCCCACTGTAAGGCAGATCAATATTATCTGTGTATAACAACAGTTTTATTTCTTCCTTTCTAATCTTTGTACTTAAATCTTTTTCTTGTCCCACTCTGTTTTAGGTGCTCTGGCACAATGTTGAAGAAAAGCAGTGGTAGTATAATTTTTCCTGATTCTAAAAGGAATGCTTCTAATTTTTTTAGGAGCTGGCCCAGTGGCATAGTGGTTAAGTTCATGTGCTCAGCTTCGGTGGCCCAGGGTTCAAGGGTTCAGATCCTGGGTGCGGACCTACATACCACTCATCAAGCCATGCTGTGGCAGCATCCAACATACAAAAATAGAGGAAGATTGGCACAAATGTTAGCTCACAGACAATTTTCCTCACCAAAAAAAAAAAAAATAAACAAAAAATAAAGGAATGCTTCTAATGTTTTTACCACTAAAATTGATAATTGCTAAAGGTTTTTGGCATATACTTGTTTTCAGGTTAATAAGCATGCTACTTTACCTATTTTACTATAGAATATTTTATAGATTTTAATCATGAATGAATTTTTGAACTTTTCAAATATCTTTTCTGCATGTATTGAGACGATCATATGGTTTTTCTCCTTTAATATGTTAATGTAATAAAGTGTCTGTGTACATTTTCTAATATTAAACTATTCTTGAATAAACTCAACTTGGTCATTTTTTTAAATTGCATTACGGAATTTGTATTTTTTTTCTGCTTTATCTCCCCAAACCCCCCCTGTACACAGTTGTATATTTTAGTTGCAAGTCCTTCTAGTTGTGGGATGGGGAATTTGTATTTAACGTGGATTTCTTGCAGACAACATTGTGGGGTTTTATTTTTGGTCTACAGTGACACTCTTATGAATTTTGTTTGCTAATATTTTGTTTCAGATTTTTGTATCTATGTTTATGGGCAAGATTAGCCACTTATACTGTCCTTGAATAGCTTTAGAATCTCAATTTTATCAGCTGCATTGAATGGTTAAGGGAATGCTGCCTCTTTTTTTAATACTCTGGAAGAATTTATATACTATTGGAATAACCTGCTTCTTTTTTTTTTTTTTTTTTAGGAAGATTAGCCCTGAGCTAACTACTGCCAGTCCTCCTCTTTTTGCTGAGGAAGACTGGCCCTGAGTTAACATCCGTGCCCATCTTCCTCTACTTTATATATGGGACACCTGCCACAGCATGGCGTGCCAAGCAGTGCCATGTCCCCACCCGGCATCTGAACTGGCGAACCCTGGGCCGCTGAAGTGGAATGTGCGAACTTAACCGCTGCACCACAGGGCTGGCCCCAGACTCAATTATTTAAAAAAAAATAATGTTGGACTATCTAGGCTTTCTATTTCTCTTTGAATTAGTTTTAAGTTAAATTTTTCATGAGTTATTTCATTGTCTGTTTCCCAATTAAATGGCACAAAATTGTTTATAATATTGTCTTATCTTTTACATCTCTAATATAATTATTTACATCCTTTTCTTTATTTTTTATTTTTCTTAATCTATCTTGCCAGAGGTTGTCAATTTCTTTTTTTTTTTTAGGAAGATTATCCCTGAGTTAACATCTGCCACCAATCCTCCTCTTTTTTGCTGAGGAAGACTGGCCCTGAGCTAACATCCATGCCCATCTTCCTCTACTTTATATGTGAGATGCCTGCCACAGCATGGTTTGCCAAGCAGTGCCATGTCCGCACGTGGGATGCGAACTAGCAAACCCCGGGCCACTGAAGCCAAATGTGCAAACTTAACCACTGTGCCACCGGGCTGGCCCTGAGGTTGTCAATTTTAATAGTGTTTTTAAATAACCAACTTTTGGCTTTTAAAAAATCCTTTTTGATTGTCTCTTTGTTTTCTAGTTAATTAATATCTTTTTTCTTTATTATTTCCTTCCTTTTACTTTCTTTGGCTTTATTTCGTTGTGTTTTTTCTAATACTTTTAGCTAGATCTTAGCTCTACAACTTTTAGTCTCTCATTTTCTAATACAAGCATTTAAGGGTATATGTTTCCTTTGAAGGACTGCTCTTTTTTTTTTGTGTGTGGAAGATTAGCCCTGAGCTAACATCTGCTGCCAATCCTCCTCTCTTTGCTGAGGAAGACTGGCCCTGAGCTAACATCCATGCCCATCTTCCTCTACTTTATATGTGGGATGCCTACCACAGCATGGCGTGCCAAGCAGTGCCATGTCCGCACCTGGGATCTGAACTGGTGAACCCAAGGCTGCCAAGAAGCGGAACGTGCACACTTAACCGCTGTGCCACCGGGCTGGCCCCTGAAGGGCTGCTTTAATTGCATCCCACAGTATTTTCAATAATGTTCTTTGGACCACAATTGGGGTTACTGGTCTAGATTGACTTATGGCAAGCAAACTAAATTTGCTGAGCACTTAATAAGTATAGGTCCCAATAGTAATCACTTTAGGATGTGAAAAACCTGCAACAGATACCGCTCGCTTCCTTCCTTCTGCCCATAAGGTCAAAGGAATCTACTGAATATTTTAGTTATGATTCATTCCCTCAAGGTTGTCCAAACCTAATACTGCTCCCTGCTATGAGGATCTTACAGTCAACAGGGATGATGAGACAATGCCAATAATAAGCAAGGCAGCAAGTGACCCACAACATGCAACAATGAAGAGAAATAGTCTCGGCCCAAAAATATATAGTTAAGTACCAAGGGTTATACTGGAGGAAACGGCAGTTTTAAAAAATAAACGTGCTTTTCATTTGTTCTCTATCCTAGCCTGAAGGACAAACCAAAAATTATAGCTTACTAGGAAAATAAAAAGGGTACTTGGCCAGAAGTATCCTCAGTTCTTTGAACCATGTGGTTTGGAATATTCTTAAGGGCAGCTTTTCATGTTTTATGTAATTATGTTCAAACTCTGAATCTATCATTTGTTCTCATTTTCCATGAACACTCCCCTTGCCACCATTCATTCACTGCTATCCCACATTTCTTTTGTCTTTTTTTAACAATGTATTACTTAATTTTATTTAAACTTGTAAACAGTGGGCTAGCCCTCCACATTTCTAAGATCTATATTTGGATGCATATTATACAGTAACTAGGAACCTTTAGAGAATTTTTATTGTTGCTGTTACAATGACCAGGAAGAATGAAGAAGAATGTGTATTTTAAAATTTTTATTTTTAGGGGCCAGCCCCATGGCACAGCGGTTAAGTTTGCATGTTCCATGCCTCGGCGGCCCAGAGTTTGCCAGTTCGGATCCTGGGTACAGACATGGCACTGCTTGGCAAAAGCCATGCTGTGGTAAGCATCCCACGTATAAAGTAGAGGAAGGTGGGCACGGATGTTAGCTCAGGGCCAGTCTTCCTCAGCAAAAAGAGGAGGATTGGCAGCAGTTAGCTCAGGGCTAAACTTCCTCAAAAAAAAAAATTTTATTTTTAAATAAAAATTCTATGTATGTAACGTGTGCAACATGACAGTATGATGTATATATACATGATGAAATGATTACTACACTCAAGCTAATTAACATATCATGTCCTCACATCATTACTATTTTTTTGTGTGTCATGACAGCAGCTGAAATCTACTCTGTCGGTAAATTTCCAGTATTCAATACAGTATTATTAACTATAGCTATCATGCTGTACATTAGATCTCTAGACTTATTCATCCTACATAACTGCAACTTCATGCCCTTTGACCAAAATCTCCTCATTTCCCCCACCTCCCTACCCCGTTACGCTCTCTGCTTCAATGCACTGGACTTTTTTAGATTCCGCATACAAATAAGATCATGCAGTTTTTCTTCCTTTTGTGTCTGGCTTATTTCACTTAGTATAATGTCCTCCGAGTTCGAACTGTTGTTGCAAATGGCAGATATATCATGTGTGCATTTACATCAGGTTGAACTATATGAGATTGCTGCTATTTGACCATTTTTAACCTACAAAGACAGCCATTTCAGATGGCTCAACCCTGTATAGTTAGAGCTTGAATAAAAGCAAATCTTATGGTGGAGTCATGAAAACTCTTTTCTGCTAAGGGAGAAAAAGTGGAGAAAATTCAAGAGCCACCATAAGTGGTTGTGTCATATGCCGGTAAACCTTAAGATGCAATGCCACTAATTAACTTAATGTTGAACTTTTGATTAGCTATTAAAGTCTGATCAGGAAATAAGTCTTTATTTTGAGGCTACAGGGGAAAATCGGTGGTGTTTCAAATGCTTAGCACACTATTAGATGGGCTTTGTTTTCTTTTAAACAGCTGGGAAAAAATGACTGATATAGGGAGTGGGAGAGAGTCCAGAAAGAATCAATATCACAAAGAATCAAGCTAAATTAATTTACTCACTGTCAAGCAGTTTTAATTGTCATATTGATGCTGGCTTGGTGAGCCAAGGAGTCAAAAGAAAGATTTCTTGGACTCTCAAGGTCTGGTAGCAGGGCTCCTTTATTCAGAGAATAGCATGGGGACAGGACCCATCGGCAGTAAGGGCTGTAGGCAGGGGACAGGACCCACGGGCAGTGAAGAGCTGAAATGGATTGAGGGTAGGGCTAAATTTAAGGCATAGGTATGTGAGTTATCTCTTTACAAGACAAAGGAAAGATTATGTAAAAAAGTCATTAAAATGGTATCAGCATAGGTAGGGTCTGGTTATCGGGTGGTCCTATAACTTTGGATAAGGATCAGGTCAGGACTCCTATGCTTCCCGGAGGGTGACATAGACCAGCCTGCAGGGCAGGATGCCTTAGGCTTTTCTCCCTGGGGCAGCCTTGATCCTCATCAATATGAAGAACTAAGACTATTGCTGTTTGAAGAATCTCAAACTCAGATGTTCCAAAGTGCAACTTATAATGCCGTTAATGCCGTCTGTCTCCCAGAACAGTTTTCTTGCTGAGTTACAGTGCTGTCATCCTCTGCATCATGTGGTTCCAGCATCTGCTCTTTCTTTGCATTCCCTTTGTATGTGCATTGCAATAAAACACACATTCTTAGAAATTACAGATCTGCTTTTTCCATCACGAGTAAGTGCTATCCCTCTCCTCCATTTATATAATACTTGAATCTCTTTTTTAACTCTGAAAATCAGGACCCAGAGCTTCTCATGTTAGTCAGTGAGTGGG